GAGCTCCTCTGATCACTTCATGCTAATTCTTGATTCAGGTTGCTGCAAGGGTAAATTTTTCAAGAGGTTTGTTTTTTACAAAAGGTGGCTGAATATGGAGGGATGTGCTGATGAAGTTGGGAGGGCATGGCATGAAGCCATTGGGGGCTGTCTTATGCATCAAGTGAAAGAGAAAATTAAAAAAGCTAGAATAGCATTGATCAGATGGAGTAAGCTTTGCAAAAATCAGATAATGTAAAGAGGATTTGAGAGCTTACTCTGAAACTTGAGCAGATGAGAAAGTTTGGAGGCCAAAGGAGTTGGGAGGAATAGGAGATTATTAAGCAAGAACTGTATAAGTCTCACCTATCTGAGGAAGAATTCTGGAGTCAGAAGGCTAGACTCCAATGGTTGAAAGAGGGAGACAAAAATACCAAATTGTTCCATGTTATGACCATGCACAGAAGGAGAAGGAATGCTATTACAAGATTGGTAGACTCTCAGAGTAGAGTGGCTGAAACTCAAGAGCAAATTGAAATGTTTATCATCAATTTCTACAAAAATCTATTTGAACCAGAGGGGTCATGGGGTGAAGCTGAAGTCCTTCCACTTATTCCTCAGTCTATCACAGAAGAGATGAATGATAACCTGACTGCTCCAGTGGATGAAGAAAAAGTCAAGGCAGCTTTATTTGCTATGAACCTCAACAAGGCACCAGGTAATGATGTTATGACTTCTCTGTTTTATCAGCATTTCTGGCCTATCTTAAGGGAGGATTTGTGTGCTGCAGTGGTGAAATTTTTTGATTCTGGCAGGATGTTGACTAGTTGAAACCATACAGTTATTACACTTATTCCTGAATGTGACAATCCTGAGTCTTTGCATCATTTTAGACCAATTAGTCTCTGCTCAGTGTCTTATAAGATTATTGCAAAAAATTTAGCCTCAAGATTGAGAGATTGTCTAAAATTTTGTATTCAGGAGACTCAATCGGCTTTTATTCCTGATAGACAACTACTTGATAATGTAGTTGTAGCTCATGTGGTTATTCACTATCTCAAAAAGCACAGGGCAGGGTCTAAGAGCTTTATGGCAGTAAAATTAGATATGATGAAGGCTTATAATAGAGTTGAGTGGAATTGTATGGTCAAAACTGTTTATTCTTTCAATGTAAATGAGAAGGTCTAAGGGTTTGTGGTGCCTTCTAGGGGGCTCAGACAAGGTGATCCATTATCACCTTATCTGTTTCTCCTCATCTCTGAAGTGTTTTCCAGATTAATTAGAAATGCAGTTGCCTTGGAGGAAATGCATGGTCTAAGAATAACTAGTGGTGGACTCTTTTATCTCATTTGCTTTTTGTTGATGATACCTTACTCTTCTGTGCTGCTGATGGTTAAAATGCTAATAACTTGCTGAGAGTGCTTGCTATGTATCAAAGTTTAACAAGGCAAAGAGTAAATCTTGCTAAATCCTCTGTATTTTTCAGTAGAAATGTGGCTGATATGGTAAAGACTACAGTGTTCCAGACTTTACATGGGATTGAAAGTTATAGTTCTTCTAGGTATTTGGGTTTGCCTATGGGGCTGGGGAGGCCAAAGAGAGAAGTTTTCCAGTTTGTGATTGATGTTGGCTGGTAAGTTGAGAGTTAGAAGTTGAAGCAACAGATTCTTATCTAATGCTGGGAAAGAGGTTCTTATGAAAGCAGTTATAAATGCCTTGCCGGTTTTTGTGATGTCTTGTTTTTGCTTACCAGTCAGTGTGTGTAAAGAGATTGCTCAAGTGAGTGCAACTTTTTGGTGGTCAAGTGGTACTGAGCAGAGGAGGGGAATTCACTAGGTGGCATGGAATAAAGTCACTGTTCCAAAGAGCTCGGGTGGCTTGGGTTTTAAGGATGTTAGAGTTTTCAATGATGCCTTAATCCTAAAGCAGATTTGGAGACTTTTGACTAAACCTAACTCCTTAATGACTCGAGTTCTAGAGAAAAATATTTTCCTGCTGGGATTGTGCTGGATGCAAAGAAGAGTGGTGCTGCCTCTTGGCTATGGAACTCGTGGGTTTCAGCTCTCGACATCTATAAAGGAGGGAATTAGAAGGGAGATCAAAGATGGCCTTAACATTAACGATCAAAAAAAAAAAAAAAGATGGCCTTAACACTAAAATTCTGTCTCATCCTTGGGTTCTTGGCCTTTCTTCTGGCAAACCAACTCTGAAAGCAGGGATGAACACTCTCTATGTGACTTAGGTGAAAGAGCTCTTGTCTGTTGATGGTAGGGAGTGGAACAAAGATCTTGTTAGGGAATTTTTCACCCCTGTTTCTTATGCTGTCATTCTTTAAATTAGAAATTTGGACTCATCTAAGCCTGATAGATGGGTGTGGAATGCAGATGTCAAGGGGAAGTTTTCTGTGGCCTCTGCTTACTCGGTTGCTATTATGAAGAAGGTTCTGAGTATGGATCTGCCTTGCTCAAGCTCAAGTGCTCAAAGTGACAGAAAGGCAAGTCTGAGGTACTGGAGCATGAAGGTGAAGGGCAAACTAATGCATTTCATTTGGAGATGTTTTACTGATAGTCTGCATGTAAGTGCAAATCTGAGATTAAGAGGGCTTCATATTGATAACATTTGCCATTGTTGTGGTGACTCTACTGAGACTGTACATCATCTGCTTTTTACTTGCCCCAGAGCTACAAAAGCTTGGAAGTTAGCCCCGGTGTCATGGGCTTCTGCCACTTCTTCTTCCTCTAGCTTCAAATCTTGGTGGTCGCATATTGCTGAGATGGACAAGTCTATGATTTCCGAAGCGCGCATTCAATTATCGACTTACATTTTATGGTGGCTTTGGAAATCCCGTAACTTATGGATTTTTTTCATATAATCTGGATGTCGGAGGATGTCATTGTGCGCCAAGCAGTAAAAGAGTGGACTGAATTTAGCTTCATGAGGGTGTAGTGTTTTATGGATTGTTCTTCTCGGTTTTTTTCTGTTTTCCGTTTTTTGTTGTTGGGAGACTATGTTTGTGGGTTCAGTGGTCTCTTATTGTGTCTGTTTTTCTCGGTTAGTGCTTTTTTTTTTCTCGTTGGCTAGTCTTTGTGATCATTGTTTGTTGGTGTGCTAAAGGGCTCAAATCGGAGCATTTGCCTTTAGTAGTTACTTCAATTGTATTTTCTGTGTGGACGATTAGAGCTAGTTAGCTCTCCGGTTTGCATTTTCCGTTTTTTATGAGTAATATTATATATCGTTTGAAAAAAAAAATAAAGATAATTACGTGCCAAATTTTTTAAGTAGATACATATAAACAATTTGAGTCGGAAAAATATTTTTATATCAAGTTAGAAAATATTTTAGAAAAATAAGTTGCCGAACGTTATTTATATATTCCATAAAATAGATTAAGTTTATTGATTTCTACTATTGTTTAAGAAATTAAAAAAAAAAAAGAGGTAAAACATTAAACTAAAGTTAGACAACTATAATAGTTTATCTCCAACATACAATACCCAACTAAAATTTTATTTTAAATACTCTTACTATTGTTTTTAATCATTCTATGAACCTCTATTCGAATATATAATTTTACCAAAATAATTATTTCATTGAATAAAATTGTAGTCAAATCCAATTTCTGAGTAAAAATTAAAAAATGACACTTATTTTTAAATAAATATAATGTAATTTATTATCAGTTACGTGCACCGTACGAGTTCTGTACTGATTTTATATAAACATGTTTTATGTAATTTCACAAATTAAATTTCATATAAATTTTTTAATAAATTTATAGGTAAGTTGTATTGTATATTGATTTCATATTTTCAATTTATCAATACTATTTAATGAGAATTTTTTATTTATAAATATTAATGAATATCTCTTACCCGTGCATCGCACGTGATTTGTACTATTTATTAATTATATTGATAATATTGATGATAGTGGTGTTGGGTTAAAATTGAGTTAAAAAAAAAAAATAGTTGAGTTAAAATATTAGATTTTCTTTTTTTTTTT